AAGGTGGAGAGGGAGTGGTTTTACTATTGTTCAAGTGTGTGTTGGTGGTTTCAGGATGGTTCGGGTTGAAATGGGGTGGTGTTTAGGTTGAAGTTGGTGGTTTCAGGGTGGCTGCTACAGTGGTGGACTGATGGGCTCGGTGCTGCTGGTGATGGTTATTAATTGATTAGTTACACTCACTTTCTCTCTCTTACCTTTAATTTACTACCTTTTAATTCATTAATCAGCCATTATGAAATTTTGTCTTAAAATCCTTGTCGAGCTCAAAGTTGCAACTAATTCGAAATGGAGGTAGTAAAATATAAAATCAAATCTTACCATAAAACCGTGCGAAAGACATTCAGTTGCGCTGCCCATATCAGCGCAACTAAATCACTTGCGCTGAGATTCCACGTGCAACTCACCCAGATGCGTGCATCACCTGCTGCTGTAGAATGCTTAAAACCCTAATTTCACGCATTCCCTATAAATAGTGGCTTAATACAAGGCTTAAACACACATAAATTAACCTAAAATCCTGGCAGAACTCTTGTTAACTTGTGCTTCCAAACCCTCTTGTCCTAAACACTCACCCTTCTTAATCTTTGTTACTACGGTGGAGGTTCCCGAACAAGAAGGAAGTTTATAAGTGTTCTAAAAGGAGATCTAGCATAGAGAAGTGGTAAATTCTCGAGCACTTAGATAAATCATAATTATTTTTCTTCTTTAAAAGAACTTTAATCAACAAAATAGCGTTGTTTGACCACTTTAAAAGAACATTTAATTAATTAATCGATTCCCCATAGCATCTTGTGTTAAATAAGATTAGGATTAAATAATTAATTGATTAATTGATCACCTAAGCCAAGGCGAATCTTGTTTACTTTTGCTCCTTTCATGAATTTGAATTAAATAAAGAATAACGACTTTGCAATGTAATTCCTATGTGATTAATACTTGTAAATAAAATCAACTAACTTAGTTTTAGGTATCGCGTTGCATATATTGTTTGGTGATGAAATTGTAAAAAGGAAGAGCTAATAGAGGCCGCACTAGGGCTAGAATAGCGATTCTCGTTTAAAGGGAACGCTATTTTAGTATCCTCGCTCCCAAACTCATTTCTGGTTTGTGTAGACCAATTTGGGCATGGGTAAACTTATGATTTGTGCTAAATATCCCATGAACTCCACATGGGAGAAAGGCAATAACGATGTTTATGAGTTTTCCCAAAACTCATTGGCGACTCCTACTTGTTTCTTACAAAAAAGCGTGATGATAGAATCAACTCTAATTCAAGGTCCCCCAAACAATCAGGAATTTAAATCTTAATACACCCTAACAAGTGTAAAGTCCTAGGCTTTTAAATGGCCATGGGCATCTAAGAAAGGACCCCTTGCGATGGGATCACCCTTCTTACAATAACAGAAGTAGAAATGAAAGATTAAGCTGCTCTAGAGTCAAACAAAGTTTTGATAGAGACAGAATGAATAGAAAAAGTACCAGTAACTACATTCGAGGACCTATCAGCTTCTCCCTTGCTCATCACAAACAAGCGCCCGGGAGTGTTGTTTCTTCCTTGGTAACTATTATTGTTGTTTCTTGAGTTGTTGTTGGCGTTCCCAGATCTGTTGTTGTTGTTGATGATACCATTCCTTAACTTCCCATTCTGACCATTCCCCTTATTCCCCTAGTTGTTGAAATTGTTGGGCCTCTGCTGGGTATTCCCACCATTTCCTTGTTACTTCTGTTTGGTGTAACACTCATATTCCCTGTGCCCCTTTTTGTTGCAAAACCAACAAGCCACCAAATTCCCATCATAGTCTCTCCCAGGGTGGTTTCTCCTACACCTCTTACAGTGGTAGGTTCTCTCTCCATTGTTAGCATTAGAAGAATTTCTAACATTTTGGTCACCCCTATCAAATGAGTTACCATTCCTAGGCTTCTTAAAGTTACTCTGGTTCTCAGATTTCCCAACGTCTTTCCTTTTCTCCCCAGCCTTAGCACTCTTACCTGTATCCTTAGAGTTTAGATGGTACAGGTGTGCAACTCTCTCATACACCTTATCAAGAGTCTTAAATACCTTCCCAGCTAGATCCTTGTATAACTTCTTGGTCAACCCCTGCTCAAACCTCTAAGCCTTCAGTTCCTTAGTCGGCACAACCTCAGGAGCGAACCTAGAAAGGGTCATAAACTTATTATAATACTCATAGATTGACATTTCTCCCATTCCAGACTTATAAACTCCTGAGCCTTCTGTTTAAAAAATGGAGGGTAAAACTTGTCCCTTAAAGAGGTCTTAAACACTTCCCATCCAAAGTTAGGTTTGGCCCTAACGGTCACAACTTTGTCCCTCCACCAGATATCAGCTTCGTCCTTAAGGTACATAGTGGCCTGGTCCACTTTCGTACCCTCACGACAGTTGAGTGCCACAAACAGTTTGTTGAACTCTCAAATCCAGCTTTCTAGGAAGGTAGGGTCAGCACCACCCTTAAAAACTTGTGGGCTAACTTGGGCCAGCTTCTTAAACATCTCTGCTTGGGGGTCGACTTGGTCTTCCCGGTTTTAGTTCAGATTTTCAGCCAACAAACGAATAGCATTAGCTAAGGCAGCGTTTTCAGCCATTCTAGTTCTATGGCTGAAATGGAATAAATATACACTCCATTTAAAATAAAATTCAAATACCATCAACACATATTTATTTAATCACAATATTACATTTTAGCACATAAATTGGTTTAAAAGGGTACCTTCTAATTGCAACCCTTTGTCCCAAGCAAAATCATACAATATAAACACGATTCATACGCAGGGTTAAATGAAGTTAAGAAAATAATTCCCCATCCCGCGCCACTCCTACTAAATATAATCATAGACAAAGAAATTCTTCCCAAAATTATATGATCCCGAAAATTTAACTTGTTCTTACTCACGAATAAAAGTAAAATGAAGCTCTTAAAATAAAATAACAACTCTTATTATAACTTAAATAAAGGTATCAATCCCAAATAATAACTCTGTAGCTCTGGCTACTTATTAAAATTCAATATCTAAATCAAACTATAATGAGGTTATAATAACTATTATTAATGGCAAATGCCTTATTAATACTAACTCCACCCAAACAAATATAGTCCTCAAGGAATAACATTGTCGTTTTTGTCTTTCTCCTCACTGTAAGTATTAACATCAAAATCAGAATCATTTTCTTCAACTGAGTCTTCAATAATTATTTCCTTGTAAAGCGGATTTGGATTTTTAGTAGCTCTCTTCCCAGCATTTGGATCTTCAGGTGGTGGTTGTAGCCATTCAAGATCATCTTCATTAGGAAATTTAATAATAGTATACTCGTAAAAAATTCTATTGTAGGTTTTAATCTTATGCTTTTTATTCTTTGCTGTCTTAAACTCATATATGCTCTCGCAATCCTCTTCATCAGGTTGAGATGGTGTAATAATTCTTTCCATAGCCCCTCTAGAGTATCTTCACTTTGAGTATCATTCTCATCCTCAGACACGACTATGGGGTTGCTCATAGTACCATTCGTGCTTTCAGAGGTGATTACTGAGTCGCTCATCTCCTTTCTACGTCAACCCAACGCAACGAACATTCAAAAAGCATAACACAAGCACATCACAAACATAAATCATTTAGAACACCAATTTCAACTTGTTAAATAAAAAAAACAAACACTTCATGTGATAATTAAATGGAAAGATATGTATGAAATATGCGTGCATTCCCTTCTTAAGTCTACCCAAAGATCACCAAGTAGACAAAAAAAAACTTCAAAATGATTTTTAATAAAATGGTTTAAGACATACTTAGTTTCGAAAAAAAAAGTATTTTAGCCTTTAAATTCAAAATCTTCAACCATTAATTATGCGCCTAAGACATACTAAGGTAATTGTCTTTAGTGGTAATTAAATCCAACCTAAGCTCTCAGATACCACTTTAAATCTAACCTAAGCTCCCACGTATTACCACCTACCTTTTATCGAATTCTCCTACAATAACAGTTACCATACAAGCATCAAGATGGCACCTTTTGAAGCGTTGTATGGAAGGAAGGGCAAAAGCTTAGTGTGCTAGAATAATTATAGTGAACGGGTTACTTTGGGAACAGAGTTTATTGAAGATATGGTGAGCAAGGTGAGACTGATTCAGTCATGAATCAAAGCAGCACAAGATAGGCAAAAGAGCTATGCCGACTTGAAGAGAAGGGAGGATGAGTTTAGTGTTGGGGACAAGGTCTTCCTAAAGGTTTCTCCAACAAAAGGCGTGATGCGATTCGGCAAGAAAAGGAAGCTTAGTACTAAGTATGTGGGTCCGTATGAAATTCTCCAACGTGTGGGGAAAGTGGCTTACAAATTGGCTTTTCCCAATTTCCCAATTAAAGACCCATGTGTTGCAACCAGAACCCATGTGTTGCAACCATAAACTATTCAACTAGATGAGTCTCTAACTTATGAACCAGTCAAAATCCTAGATCACAAGGTGCGTAGTACTAGAACCAAAGATGTGAAGTTAGTGAAGGTCCTTTGGTCGAACCAAGAGTACGAAGAGGCTACTTGGGAGGTCGAGGAAGAGATGAGGAACAAGTATCCCGAGTTATTTGACGAGTTGAGTTACGTGGGCGTAACTCTTTTCTTTTAGGGAGGTAGAATGCGATGTAATTTCGCGCTTTTACCTCAACTATGCTATTTATTGCTTTATTTTCCATGCTTTTTCTTATTATTATGCATTATTATTGTGTTTACACACAATTAAAGTATGTAAACTTTGGCCAAGTATGAGTTCATTGAGTAAAAAGTTTAGTTTGTTGAATACAAATGTTGAGGATCAAGCAATTTAATGCAATACAAAACATAAAGGTTTGAATGGTTTGGAAAAATTATTGTTTTTGCGTTAAGTTTCGAGGGCAAAACTTTTTTTAAGAGGGGTAGATTGTAATCCCCCATATTTTTAATATATTTATTTATTATTTATAAAAAATATTTTTTTTATTTTAATTTTATAATATGAATTATTTTATATAAAAATAATAAGATTTTACTACTAGTAAGCTAAACCATTAAGTTTTAGTCTAATTTATAACCTTTTTTTTTAAGTTACTAGCCCAAAAAATTAGTGCCTATTCAAGCCCAAATTACAAGTCCATACTCCTAATAGGATCAGGAAAATAAAACCCCAAAACCCTCACAACTCTTACTCTCTCTCACGTAAGAAAAGAAGAAAAGAAAATCCTCACTTCCCTTCTCCTCTTTCACGTAAAGCACAAAAAAAAAAAAAAAAACCTCACGAAGCTGCTGCCCAGCCGGCGTCTGCACTGCCGCCTCCCCTCACCAGACGCCGCCGCGCCACCAGCAGCCACCTAGTACAGCTTCCCCTTCTTCCTCCCTCCTTCCTCACCAGTGGCGGACCCAGGAATTTCCGACTGGTGAGTCACAATTGATAACCAAATATGTAAAAAGAAAAAATTTACCAAAATTCCCAAGAAAAATTATTTACAAAGATCATCCAAATAGAAAATTGACAAGATTACAGTACTAACTAATAATTAACAAGCTTAAAATTGACAAGACTAAAATTAACAAACTAATAATTAACAAGCTAATAATTGACAACATGACAAGCTTAGCTCTCTAATAATTAACAAACTAATAATTGACAAGATTAAAATTTGTACAAGCATTAGGTTCACATTTCATCAAAAACCCAACAACATTAACAAAAGGTTCAAAGTTAGTATTTTTTTTTTTTTTTAAAAAAACTTAGAAAATAATTTTTTTTTTTTTTTAAAAAAAACTTAAAAAATATTTTGGGCCCTGGTGAGTCATTTGACCCACCAGGCATAAGGCCAAGTCCGCCAATGTTCCTCACTTATCTTTGTTTATTTAATTGTTTAAAGTTTCAATCTTTAATTAAATTTTGTTCTAAATTATTATTATTATGGTTTGATAATATATTTAGATTATAAATCATTATAAATTTATGAGTTTTGACATGTTTAATTTATTATATAAATTTTCAGATTTGTGTATGTATAAAAATTTAGGGTTTAACACTAGTAGAAAAATTGTTATTTGTAACGCCATATTAGTAACTGGCATAAATTATGTTAGTTACTACAAGAGTATTAGTAACTAACTTAGATAGTGCAAGTTACAAATAAATTTATATTAGTAACTGACATAAGCTTGGCCAGTTAAAAATAACAGGTCAAAGATAGGTTGACCAACTATTAGTAATGGGCATATAAAAAGTTAGTTACAAATAATAGGTCAAACTTTATTGACCTTATTTGGTAATGGGCTTTATTAAGGTTGGTTACTAATTCTACTTACTTTCCTAGCACGCAGGACTCATTGTTAGTAGTTACCACGCAGTTACCACTCGCTGTATTCCTTTTCCCCATTTTCACAAACGCGCAAATTTTCTCACTTCTCTGAAACTGCTCTAAAGTGAAAGCTCCTCAAAAACTCCTCTAAAGCTTCTCCAAAACTCATTCATCAAAAAATATCGTCAAGGTATGCTCTTGATCTCAGCCTAATTTATGTATTTTTTTATTATTTCAATAATTTGAAGTGATTATTTGAAAAAAAAAAGAATTCTAGGGTTTGTGCTTTTGTTTGTTAATTTAATTTAATAATGATTTTGGGGTTGTATCACTTGCTAGTTGCAAATTCGGGTTTCATAGTAAACTAAAATTGATTAAAGAACATCACTTTGAACAGCTGGGCGAGAGTTTTGAGCGCAAGAGAAATCGGGCCTTGAAAATCCTAAATCAGTGGCTTGTTGAACAATTTGGCAATTTGCAGGGCTGGAAGTTTTGGCATGGCTATTCAATTCTGGGAATCTTTGATTATGATATATTATGTGTTTATTTTTTTATCCTTCTATGAGAGAATTTACAATTTGATTATCTATATTTTTAGAGAAACAAAATAAACTACAGGAACAAGCTTTTTATTATAGAATCTCAGATTTAATAAAATGCACTAGCTATTAAGAATGCAAGTTACTTGTATAGTTGCATGTAGAAATTGGAAATTGCTCATGCTTTGTTAATTTTTTGTTATAATTATGAACTTATGTTAGACCAGTAATGTTCCCGTTTCTATTTCGAGTAGAAAAGTCAATCCATGAGTGCTGCAGTAGGTTTATTTTTGTGCTTAATTAGTATAGTGTCACCTTGATTGAAGCTCCCCTTTTTCACCCTTCCGAGATGATTCTAGAACTATCAAGGTCTTCTCTCTTCATTACTTAATTCACTGTTTCTTCTATAATAAAGCATTTTCATACTCATATTATTTCTTCTATTAATTCAGCTTTACTATATGAAAGGGATAAGCTTTCTCAACTTTAGTTTGATCATTTAAAATCACTTGTTGATATTGGTGATATACTTGGCGCAACTGATACTTTGAAAAGAACTCAAAAAGGTCTAATTTCACCCTCCTCGTTCAATTTCTATCATTGCAATTCATCCTTGTACTAAATTTCTTTATTTGGATTGCATAATTATGTGAGAGAATGCCATCAAAATTTAGTCCTCATTATTGCTTACACATTATAGTAGGCCCTCATTTTATGAATTTCAAAAGTTATGCACCAGGTTTTCAATAAAATTTAAATCTTTATAGAAATATAATGATATTTTGTGAATGTTAGAGTTTATACTTTGTCTTATAATGTTTGAATTGATTCTTTTTTTTTTTTGTTAGTTTGTTAGTTTATTAGGTTATTTGCTTCTTGAATTTTTCAGATTGTATAATTGGTTGTTTTTAATCTTTAGTTGTACCTGTGGCTGTATCAAAAGACCAATGAAACTTGTTGAACCAAGTCTTGGGGCAGCTATTGCAATAAGCCTTGCGGTTAACCATATAAAAGCAGTTAGTTGTTGCTCACCCCTATTGCATTTAGTCACATATACATCCTTAGAGCTTGGAATTTATGTGATTATACAATATAAAAATGTTTATACAATTGGAATTTGAATCTATATCTCTATATGATTTTTGTCAACAAACTGATTTTGATTGATGTAAGTGTATATGCAGAAGGTTTAGGGGAATTATAATGGCCAACCTGCCCCCTCTTTTTTCTTATGCTGGTGCGAGTTCTAATCCTAAGATATTAGAACCGTACCCCTCCCCCCCTTCAAATTGTTCATCTCCTCTTGCATTAATGTATAGTGCCGCAAGATGATGTTGTTTCGTAGCTTTTACTCTTCCAGAGGATATTGTAGGCCATTCTAAACTGGCATGCTTTCTTGTTTGCTAAATATTGCCAAGTATAACATAATAATGCAATTGTATCAATATTATGTTTGAATAGGTTATTTTTACTAGAAATGTGTGCCATACCTCATGACTTTATGTATATTGTATAACCTTTAATGATGTATCCTTGAGTATTAGTGTGGACTGGATGAATATAAGAATTTTCTTATACAATTAAGCCACTTTAAAATGATGTGATTGTTTAATTAATTACTTTATTTATTTATTTATGATATTAAGTAGTTGGACATATTGGTTGTTTCCATTTCTTATTCCCTATTTCCCGTGGTAGGAGAATGCGCTATTGTATCTTGCAATCTTGCATGGAAAGTAGAGGATATAATGGTTTTCCTTTGTAAAACAAGTATACGAAAATTATTATTTTTATGCGTTTTACAAGATCTTTAGAAAGTTCTTTGGGACATGTATTTGTATGGTCTCTTGTTTGGATAAATTTTTATTTGAACAATGCTAAATCTATGTATAGCACAAGTCAAGTGATATGATCTTGTAGTACAGCTTCTATAGAGTAAATTGTACTATGACAATTGCGTATTGTGACAATTTTTTTTTTACGAAACATACTCTAAATAGTTTTCCGAGGTCTAAACATCATTATTTTACAGGAAGCTTGTACAGTTATACTCAATCTGTATTCTGTAATTGCTGCTCTCATTGCTAATTAAGTCTTTGCTACCTGTTGCCTCTCTTGCTGTTGTCGTTGCTGCCTATGTTGTTGTTGGTGCTGCTGCTGCTTTAATGGGTGCTGTTAATTATGCTACGATGTTACAATTAATATTAATCTAAAATAAAACAATCTGAGAATTTCTTATATAAATAAAAAAACTAAGCTATACACTTTTGTTTTATTAGAGTCAAGCTCCCTGATACTATTTGTCAATGTCATTTTCTAGTTTGTAGCATTATTATATATAATATTAGTATTAGAATTTTATAGATTAGTTAATTTCATACTTATTAAATTAGATTAATTTAACGAGGTTATAATCATATAGTTTTATCAATATATGTTTACTGACATGATTAATTTCTTTCGTCTAAAAGACACAGATTAACCGAAATTCCTAATCCTATATTGGTTTCCTTTGTTTTGCAGGAATTTTACTACAAATTTGACATCTATTTTTCCTTCTTGTAATTAGTAGGAAAGTGAGATGATGGTATCATTTGATACTTTGTGCTCTATATTATGAGGTTAGATCCCATCATTTTGAGCATTTACTTTTATAGTTAAATGTTGCATCTTCCTTAGCTATTTCTAAAATTTTCTCTTAGTAAGGTGAATGCTCTTGGAGTTGGGTTCTATTTCTGCTTATGGCAATAGCTCTAGGTAGAACTTATTATCTATCGTCTTTATTGGGTGCATTTGGGTGATTTCCCCCATCCCACCCAACTAGATTAATTAGTTTCATTCTATTGTTCCTTGCATGTATCATGAATTGGTAAACCTGTTTCTATTCACATAGCATTTAGACACTCTTAATACTCAATGCCTTGTAATCTTCTCAAGATTAAATAAGTTAAGAAATCCATTATCACTACTTGAGTAAGTTAAAACTTTTATCATTTGAACCTTTTAAGATATCTTACGAGCTCATATTCTAGAAATTATTTAAGATTAGTCTTTGTGATAACAGTTTGGCAGGTTGGTTTTGGATGCAGGGTTCAATATTATTTTAAGCTTATTCTACAAGCACTTTTAAAAGGGTGAACGACTTAAGAGAGGATGATTTCTACAAGAAGTTCTCGGATTGTTATGTTTTAGAAATCACAATGCTCTATTTTGTTTGGTTCTAATCATATCTTATCACTCTGTTCTTTTAGGATGACATACATGTCCTTTGTAGTTGAAAGTTGGTGATATATTTGTAATTTACAAGCACGTCATGTTCTATATTGTATAATTGATGATGTAATGTCGAATTAATTGGGCCTTACGTGGTTTAGATTAATATTTATTGTATTTATTATAAAAGTTGGGTTAATAATTTATGGTGCTTCACAAAAAAAAGAGTAGAATGGGTGGTGGCAGTAGGGGCATCTGCTACTATTTCCATTTTTTTTAATATAATAAAATGCTATTCGTAACTGGCGTTATGTTTTGCTAGTTACTAATAATACCCTAATTGTAACCGGTGTAAATTAATGCCAGTTACGAATAGTATGCTTTCTAACTTGAAAATAGACTATTCGTAACTGGCATTTAATTAAGCCAGTTACGAATAGTACATTATTTGTAACTAACATAAGCCAGTTATGAATAATTTACCGTAGTTGTAACGGTGGCATTCGCAACCAACAATGCTGGTTACAAGAAGTCAATTTCGCCAGTTACAAATAGCATTTTTTCTACTAGTGAAACCATTAAAATAAAGCTTTTAAATTGTTCTGATTAGTCAATAATAATAATATAACATCCCAACTATAAGTTTATATGTTAAAACAATGAAAATATAGTGTATAACATGAAATTCCAGCAACTTAAGTAAATAAATTTAAAAATTTAGTTTAAATATATAAAATAACCCCATAAGCATAATTACTTGAAATTATCATTATATAGCAAGTTAATTAATTAGTGTGTTAAAACCCCAAAAATATTCTAATTCAATGCATTTAGAAGCTTCAAATTAAAAGTGTACAAATCTAAAAATTTATACTTGAGATTGTAATTTAAATTCCAAAGCTTTTTAATCATAAAATATCCACAATAATTATTTTATAGGCTTAGAAGCATAAAAACATGAAATTAACATTACTTGCTCATAAAAATCAAAACTTTAATAATTTGAAAATTTATACATAGTCAAAATAATTATACTTTAACGTAATTTAAACATAGTATAATTAGATAACTTTATTAGCACATTTTCAAGGCCTAAAACATGAAAAGGTATGTGCTTAGAGGCAAAGGTATGTGATTGGTGAAATGATTCATTTATTACTCATTCATGATTATTGAAATAGAATGTGTTTAGGGTAAAAATTACCCATGACAAATGGACCAATCCGGACCTGCCACGTGTCCACCACGTGGGCCAATCAGCGTCCGCCATTTGTCACCCTAAGAGGTCCAACATGGACTAATCAGGCCACGCCACGTGGCCTCCCATATGCCAAATAGGCAAAATGGCCACCAAGGCCCAAAATCCGAGAGAAGCCCAATTTGCCCTGGTTAACCTAAACCTAAAATTGGCACGCTTCTCAAGACTATAAATACTTAATTAATCCTCATTAAAGGGGATTCAGCAGAATGACTCTCACCTAGAGAAAACCAAAACACATTGATCACTCCTCCCCTAGAGGAACCAGATCTCCCACCTTTACTTTCCGCATTTATCACTCCTCAAACAAGTACTAACTTGACCGTTGGAGGCGGAGCTCCCACCACAAGGAGTCTCCGTTGTTTTGCAGGTACAGGCGCAAGGATACCAGTCCCGGAATTGTAACTCTCCCGCAGGACATCAGAAAACCCCGAAACATTTTGGCGCCGTCTGTGGGGAGAGTACTTTCGAGATGGCATCACAGTCTGTACCGATTCTAAGTGACAAGCGTCCCATGGACGACCCCCTGGTTCAGTCGGACCAGGACACCGACAATGAAATCGATGTCGAGACTCACACGACCCCCGACGGGTCCCTTAGAGCTCGACGTACCCGTCCCACCGCCTGAGCATCAACAGGCGATCGAGGGGCCTGCTCCTGTTACCAGGAACGAACTCATGTCTTTCATGAGAGGTTTCAAGGGAGAAATCCAGGAGCTAATAAAAAAGAGAACGCCTGTTCCCGCAAAGGAACAGTCGGCCAGAACGTCCTCCCACCCCGGGAGAACTAGACTTGTTAAGGATCGTGTGGCGACCCCCTAGCCAAAGCCTGGGGTAAGGCAGCGCCAGTGATCGACTAAACGAAGTATCACTTCCCTTCACAAGGGAAGAGAAAGCACATCCGTTATGTTCAACCGGACGAGTCAAAGAGAACATTCTCTGATGCTCGAATGTTGCTGGAGCAGAAGAAGAATGACCGACTATCAGAGTCAGCCTCTACGTCTGATTTTCAAGACAGTCTCCACCATACCTCCATGAGGTATTCAAAATCTAACCATGAGAGTCAGACAGGCGGCACTCACCCTCACAAAAGTGTGCTAACATTCACAAGGTACAACCGACATAGTTCTTGCCCATGCTAAATTAATAGACCAGGCGGCAATATAAGCAGTCGGCCAGGTCTACCCAACCCCGATTAAAGTTACATGCGCCTAGCATGACACTCAATGGGTACAGCCGGTAGAAGACCAGCCTTCGAGCATCCGGCCAGGCGACCAAGTACTGCATGCGTCATACGAACAAATGTTGGGAGTCGGATGGTCAAGCTTGTAGGCTGGTATAATTATTAAATCATTATTATGATTTTACAAAAAAAAAAATAAAAAATAAAAGAAGGTATGCAAAGTTAGGCCGCCTAATACCACCTTGTATATGTATACAACGTAGGTAAACATGGAATCAAGCGCTGACTACTTCATATCATTACGTGAGAAGCACATTGCTAGCCACACGTCACTTAGACCAACTAGGTGGCAAAGTCCCATGTGATCATAACAAGGAGGCGGCTCTTCAAGTGACAAGTCACAATACCAAGGGTATGTAAACCAAGGCATGTGTCGTATAACATGGAGACCAAACAAGACTTACATGATCATAACCGTCGCCCACTAAACACTCAGCTTTTGAAACGATTCGCAAATGCTAGGTGGAGTAATGGCCCTTATGCTTCTTGAACAAACCGACACCCAGGCTTCGTTCTTCAAAGCTAGTAGGCGGCAATCGGCTCCAACTCAGCCACAAAGCAGTCGACCTTCTAGCTCTAAAATAGCCGGAACTCTTTAATGAGGGCCATAGACGCTAGCATACAATCGACTCTCAAAACGTTGTGAGCATTACACCCTTGAAGCCGAAAATGGATACTTAAGGCACCTCTCTTAGTTCTCAAACTAATCAAAGTATCATCCAACATCACCTTTGCCAAACCTTTCTTGACATAGCACAAGCAATCGGCATCAAGATGGTATTTTTAACTAGCCGACCAATATATGTTGTTGCTATGGTTGAATATGCGCATGCTACTACTGCTCTTCATACTTGCACTGGTAGTGGAAAGCTTGCCTAAACATGCAAATTTGGTGAACACGATGCCAGCTACTAACATGAATGGTTTCGATGCAAGTGTGGTATGAGCAGGCGGCAAGTGGGAGAACAACAGGTGCTCATATAAAGAAACAAGAACACCCCATGAGCAGTCGGTTGGTGCAACGCATCCGGCCATGCTAACGATGAAATGCAAACAAACGGCAATCTATGCAGCCGCTAAACATTCGGTCCTTCACTATTAAACCTGAACGTTACGGAACAGCCATCTCCAACTCAGTCCCAGCTAGAGGCACTAAAACAGCCGGCCTTCACAATGGTTTTGTTAAATGCATACAGTCGCTAAAAACAGCCGGCCTAGTATCAGCCAACTAGGCGGCAGTAATGATTCAGGTGGCCCTTGCAACCAAAGCAATGATAAAACGGCTAGTCATGTAAAAACAAGCGGCACCCTATTGAGGATTGTCAATTGTTTCCGTTGCAATTACCGTGAGGAAGCTCTTACCCAAGGTGAATCTTAATTACTGAGTAAATTCTGGAAGAAGTCGTTTGTGAGCTTCTAACCAGGCGGACTTCTCCTCATGCCAAGCATCTGTTTGATATCGGCGGCATCAAAGGCTGCAAGCAATACATCCGGCCAGCTCCATATATGCTCACCCAACATTTATAATGCCATATGTATTTCAATTCAAATGAAACTTTTTCCAGCTTGCATCATATGCGGGTCAACTAGTGGGTCTTGGTCTGGCTGAAACAAAACCGAAAACCAGCCGTAAAAAACAAGAGTTAGGTGCATGAATAGCAGCCGGCCATCTCTACGCAACATTAGTTAGCTCTTGATAAAACATCCGGCACTCTCAGCATTTGAGAGCAGGCGACATTATAGAGTTAGTCGGCATTCGGTCAGCCAAACAGCCGGTGCTCGTCGAGGGTAGCCTTGAAAAACCGGCTATATGTATTTAAAGCAAGAATGCCGTGAATAATTACATAATCACAAGTGCTCCTCAAGATTACAGCCGGCCATACCCAAAAAAACCATTGTGCTCGGTTTACTTGAGGTTCAAAAACGGCCCCGGCATGCGAGCATCTATGATCTTTGCTATTGTGATAAGACCAGCCTGCTCTATATGATGTTTTATCATGGTATAACCGCATGGTTTTTGCTCAAAAATATAATGCCAAGTATACTTGATACAAATGAGTTTGGTTCCAGCTTGATCTTCCAAAAGTAAACAGCCAACATACTCGCACATATAAACCTCAAACCTCACGGCCTGCCGAGAGGAGTAGCGCTTGGCTCGTAGTAATATAATCGGCCATGAGAGTGAATGCTTAAACTTGTTCATGTGCTAATTCTCTTATTGTGAAAGCTGGGCATTGGCGTCTCGCCCAAGAAAGCAGGCGGCTAAATGGCAGCCGACCTAGTCCCAGCCACGAAGTAGCAGGTGGTAGCCACGATCAACTTTAACCATGCGTCCGACACTTCGATGTTGGGCATGAGTTACATTGCCGAGTGTGTGAGCATGTAGCCTCGAACTTAGGCCTTGATTATAAGCGAGAGCTTGATGACTCCTACCTCAAATGCACACAAGCATTAAAATCAAGACACTCGAATGGTTCATAACAGTCGGCACCTCATAACAAAACCAGTCGGCCCCTTAAACCATTCAAAAGAGCAAGGCGGAGTAGGAGCGCCTATGTTTGAACAACCGGCTCCCAAGCTTCGTTCCAAGAATAATATGGGCCACACCCATATCTCATTTTGTATATACATGACCGCTAGCATGTCCAAGAAATCACAAAAGCCCACTTGGTATCCGAGCCTTCTTCACCAAGCGCCTCATGTT